CTCCATTTGCTCAAACCCCTGTTCAGCAACTAGCATTCTTTTAAGGGGTACAAGAGCCTCTGACTTTGGACACACGATATGTGCCTCTGCCTTTTTTCTTAGGGGATGCCTTGTGGCTGTCACACCTCGGCTCCCTAAAGGGACCCGTGACTCAGGCACTTAGGCCCACTGGCCTGCAGGCAGCCCCCGCCTGGCCTTCCAAGGCCTCTGAGATACGGATCCCATAGCATTATGATGTGGTGAGGTCCTGGGGGTTCCAATCCTAGCTCAGTTTGCCCTGCTGAGTAACCTCAGGCAAGTCTGCTGTCTTTTTTTTTTTTTTTTTCTAGATTTTTATTTATTTATTTATGAGAGACACACAGGGAGGCAGAGACACATGCAGAGGGAGAAGCAGGTTCCCTGCAGGGAACCTGATGCGGGACTCAATCCCAGGACCCCGGGATCATGACCTGAGCCAAAGGCAGATGCTCAACCACCGAGCCACCCAGGCACCCCAAGTCCACTGTCTTCCCAAGCCTCAGTCTGTCTTACAAATGGAGGATCTTGGGCAGCCCAGGTGGCTCAGTGGTTTAGCACCAGTTTCGGCCCGGGGTGTGATCTTGGAAACCCGGGATCGAGTCCTGCATCCGGCTCCCTGCGTGGAGCCTGCTTCTCCCTCTGCCTGTGTTTCTGCCTGTCTCTCTCCCTTTGTCTCTCATGAATAAATAAATAAAATATTAAAAAAAAAAAAAGCGGGGCAGGGGGAATCTTCTGAAGCGAGCAGGTGAGCACTACACAGTGCAGAACCTTCCGGGGGATGCTCTGTAAGGCAGGGGGTGGAGGGTGCTTCCTGGTAGCTTTCTCACTCCTCCTCTCTGGCCTCAGAGAGGGGAGCACACTAGCCTATGTGGCCTCAGAGAACTCAGAGGGGACACGAGGTTGGTGTCTTAGGAAGCATCCTGGTGCTTTATCCTCTGAGGCTAGGGCACCACCCCACTCACTGGCCCCAGCTCTGATGCCTGCCCTCTCCTCCCAGAGCATCATCTACTACGTGAGCCGCTCACCGAAGCTGGAGGCGTGGCTTAGCCATGAGGGCATCTCGGCAGCCCTGCGGCCAGTGAGGGCGCCCGGCTATGCTGACTCGGACCCCACCTTCTCACTGAGTGTGGATGAGGACTATGACCTTCGCCTCTCTGGCCTCTCACTGCCTTCCTTCTGTGCAGTGCACCTCGAGTGGATCCAGTACTGTGCCTCCCGGCGCAGCCAGGTCTGGCCACCACTACCCTGGGGCTGCCCCCCCTCCCTTCCCTGGATGGGTTCCTCTTTCGGCCTCCCTTGGTCTGGGCCCTGGCCCCCATCCCAGGTTCCTTGTCCTGGGTCTGAGCTGGGCTCTGGGGACGGGGTCCTTGTGCCACAGCCCGTGGACCAAGATTGGAACTCGCCGCTGGTCACGCTGTGTTTTGGCCTGTGTGTGTTGGGCCGACGGGCCCTGGGGACAGCTTCGCATAGCATGTCGGCCAGGTGAGTGCCACAGGTCTGGCCGTGTTCCCCTCTACCCCCTCCACAAAGAGCTCTGGGCCAGAAGCCCCCAGGAGCCACCTCAGTCCTTCCTTCAGGGTGGCTCTTCTCCTCGGGCAGGGTACCTCCCACTTACAGACCTTGCCTGTTCCTCACCACCCTACGAGGGACCTAGACAGACACCGGCCTTATCAGGATGAAGAAACAGAGGCCCAGCATAAAGAATGGTCTCAGCTCAGACCACCGTGTGGAGAACCAGGGCTCAGAAACCTTCATGCTTGCCTGTTGCTTCTCATCCCCAGCCTGGAGCCCTTCCTCTACGGCCTGCACGCCCTGTTCAAGGGCGACTTTCGCATCACCTCCCCACGTGACGAGTGGGTCTTCGCGGACATGGACCTGCTTCATCGTGTGGTGGCACCTGGGGTTCGCATGGCCCTCAAGCTTCACCAGGTGGGGAGAAGTGTGCCCAGGTAGGGTGGGCATTTGGGGGATGAAGCCCTCCCCGGGTCAGGGGCCACTGACCAAGCTTCCCATTGGCCCCCCAGGACCACTTCACGTCCCCAGATGAGTACGAGGAGCCGGCTGCTCTGTATGATGCCATCGCCGCCAATGAGGAGCGCCTGGTCATATCGCATGAGGGTGACCCGGCCTGGCGCAGTGCCATCCTCAGCAACACACCCTCACTGCTGGCTCTGCGCCACGTCCTAGATGATGCCTCCGATGAGTACAAGATCATCATGCTCAACCGGCGCCACCTCAGCTTCCGAGTCATCAAGGTGCGGATGGCCCATCCCTGCCAGGCACCTGGCCCCCTGCCAGGCACTGCCCCCCCACCTGACCCTTGTGCATGGCCACCCACAGGTGAACCGTGAGTGTGTCCGTGGCCTATGGGCTGGGCAGCAGCAGGAGCTGGTGTTTCTGCGCAACCGCAACCCTGAACGTGGCAGTATCCAGAATGCCAAGCAGGCACTCCGCAACATGATTAATTCTTCCTGTGACCAGCCGTTGGGCTACCCCATCTATGTGTCGCCCCTCACCACCTCGCTGGCCGGTAGCCACCCCCAGCTGCGGGCTCTGTGGGGTGGCCCAGTCAGCCTGAGTGCCATTGCCCGCTGGCTTCTGCGCAGTTGGGAGAGGTGAGCCCTGAACGCTGCCCCGAGCCTGTGGGGCTGAGGTCCTGGAGTGGGAAGCGGAGGCTCAGCGAGGTGAAGCAGGTTCCTCCTAAGGCTCAGAGTGAGGAAGTGCTGGAGCCAGGCCTGGGTCCTGAGAGGTGACACTGCCCTAGAGCTGACCCACCTTCATGCTGCTTTCCCAAAGTTAGAGGTGGCCTTTTGCCTTCTGAGCTGTCAATGACACCTCTCTTAAAAGACCCTGAAAAGGAGATGGCAACATCTCTTAGAGACGAGATCCTGGGGCTCAGAGATGTTAGCTGGCTTGTCCTAGAGCTGGAGACTTGCGCCTCTGGAGTCTTAGGCCCTCCGCCTGCCAACCTGTCCCTCCCTGCCGCCCCCCATTCCAGGCTTCATAAGGGCTGTGGTGCTGGCTGCAACAGCGGTGGGAACGTGGATGACTCGGACTGTGTTGGAGGTGGTGGCTTAACCTCCCTCAGCAATAACCCCACCCTGGCACACCCCACACCTGAGAACACAGCAGGTGAGTGAGCAAGGCCAACCTAAGCCAGTGAGTGAGGAGGACAGCCTAGCTGAGAGCTTGACCCTCTTACCTGTTTCCCACAGGCAGTGGCGACCAGGCCCTCCCCCCGGGCCCAGGCTGCGGCCCTCGGCCTTCCCTGAGCGGCTCTGGTGATGGGCGACCCCCTCCATTGCTGCAGTGGCCACCCCCTCGGCTCCCTGGACCAACCCCTGCCTCCCCTGCCTCCACGGAGGGTCCCCGGCCCTCAAGGCCCCCTGGCCCTGGGCTCCTCAGTTCTGAGGGTCCCAGTGGGAAGTGGAGCCTGGGGGGTCGAAAGGGGCTAGGGGGATCTGAGGCAGAACCAGCCTCAGGGAGCCCCAAAGGAGGCACCCCCAAATCTCAGGTAAGGGTTCTGTGGAAGGATTGGGTCCTGAGCTACTCAGGTCTGCTCTTCCACCAACCGCTCTCCCCTCCCCTAGGCGCCCCTAGACCTCAGCCTCAGCCCGGATATCAGCACCAATGCTTCCTCGCCCCCCAGAGCAGCCCAGGACATTCCTTGCTTGGACAGCAGTGCTCCTGAAAGTGGCACACCTACTGGGACCCTGGGGGACTGGCCTGCCCCTGCTGAGGAGCGGGAGAGTCCGGCCGCTCAGCCCCTGCTGGAGCATCAATACTGAGCGGCCTGGTACCCTCTGGATCCCAGCCCCAGGATTCAGTAACTTGGATCTCCGGCCTCTGGCCCTCTCTCCTGGACCACAGAACTGAGTGGCTTTGGCTTCCACATCTGAACCCTGACCTCTGGCTGCCTTAGCCAGAGTATCAGAACTAAGTGGCCCAGACCTCTGACCTTGATCCCTGATCTCTCATCCCTAGTCCAGGGCCTGGGCTCCCAAAACTGAGGCAGGCAGCCTCCCAGCCAGGCCCTAAAAGCCAAATCCATGGGCTGGTCCCGCTTTGAGCCCGTGGCCAGGACACTGGACTTGGCCCCTGGGCCCGCTCTGCCTTCAGAGGCGGCAGCCCTTGGCCTGGACCTGGGGCTGAAATGTGGGAAGGGTGGTTTCTTTTTTTCTTTTTTTTTTTTTTTTCGTGCTTCGGAGACACCAGAATTAATAACACTATTTTTGATTTTGGTTGGTGTTTTCTTTTTCTGTCTGGGAATGTTTGGGTGGAAGATAGAGGCAGGTGGCCAGGTCAGGGTAGATGAGCAGAGAGGGGGGATCAAGAATCTGGGGCTGGCTAATGATGGAGACAGAGGTAAGACCCAGGTGGGGTTCAAGAAGGCTTAGGTCCCCTTCCTCACAACCTTGTTCATTTTTAAGCCTTGGTCTGAAGTTCATGTTCAGTTTCTCACCCCTGAATTTTCAAAGACTTCTACCTCATGACGCTAGTGCCTAAAATTATCAGCCTTGACCTTGGCAAAAGCCTTTCTCTGAATCTCAATTTCTCCAGCTATAAAGCAGAGAAAACACCTGTCTAAGGTGTTTTTAAGAATGAGAGCGTGTGGAGAGCAGGGTCCAGTGCTTAGTTAAGTGCTTATAAATGGTCAACTGTTTTCTGGGCACCTGCTCTGTGCTGGCCGGTGTGGGGTGGAGGGGTCTGAGGGAAGGGACTGCTAAACACTAGGAATCCTGCTGTAGCCCTCCCAGTTGGTCTGGAAGGCAGGTCTACGTTTCTGCGTTTCTCAGCTGACGCAGGAGACCCAACAGCGCGCTGCACTGGGCCTGGCTCGGTTCTCTTGCCCCGAGTGCGCCGGGTCTGCAGTCCCCGCCCTCGGGGCTTCCCGCCGCAGACTGCTCCCAGGCCGGCCCCGCCCCCTCCGCGCCGGCCCCGCCCCCGACAAGCCCCGCCCCCGAGGCGGAGCCGGTGCTGGAGCAGCAGCGGGAGAGGCAGCGGGACCCCAGCGCGGGAGGCGGCCACCAGGCGGGAGCCCCTGAGGTACCGGCGGGAGCGGGGGAGTGGAAGCACCGCGGTCGGGCCGGACAGGGGAAAAGGCTTGGCGTGGGCCCGGGGGGTGTATGTGTGGAAGGGGGTTCCTAGCCGCGTTCGCTGCCTGCACCCTCCTAACCTCTGGGCTCCAGCTCCAGTTCCGAGTCAGCACGTCCACTCCCCTGAGTCCGACCGGCGGCCCCCACTTCTCGGCGTGACCGCCCGGCCCGGTCCGGCCAGTGTGCGGGCGATTGGATGAGGCGGTCCCTGACTCCTCTGGGCGGCGCTGGCGGCTGCCCCTAATGCCGGCCGTGTGTGGGACTACCCCGCTGTCCCGGCGCTCCCCTTGTCGCGAGGCGGCCTCCTCCCCAGCCTTTGCGCGCCGGCCCCTAGTCTCGGGCCTGGCCTGGGAGGAAACATCTGTCGCACCCCCTGGCAGCAGAAATGGGGTCATGACCTCCAGATGTGCTGGGAAGCATCCAGCGCCTCCTCCTGGGGCAGCCAGGCCTTCCGGATCTGTGGGGGCGGGGCCGGCCCTCTCCCCCCAGTGACACAGGCTGAGAGGAATGTCCCGGCCTCAATGGACCCTGTGTGAGGCTGCCGGGTGGGGGGCAGAGCTCAAGAACACCCCCCAAGGCAGGGCCAGAGCCCAGCATTGGGCCGGAACAAGAGGCAGCCCATGGCCTGCGCGCACACACACATAGGCAGAGCTCAGCCCACACAGAGCAGAGGCCCACTCGGCTTCCCTCTCATGTCCCCTCCCACCCCAACACATCACAGCCCAGGCCGAAGAGCTCGGCCCATGGAGCGAGCGCCTGCCTCACCACCACGTCCTTAACACATGGTCAGCTTTACACTCTTGAACCTTCTTGCAGTCTCCCCATGGTGTTGGGAAAGGGCAGAAGGATTAACCCCATTTTAGAGATGAGAGAACAGAGGCTCTGGGTCCGTGGCAAAGACGGGACTCTTTCTTCTAAGAGAAACGGGAGGAGGCACTCCAAGCTTCCTGGAGGCCCACACTTGCTTGGTCCTGGAGCTTTAGATGAGGGGTACACGGAGCCCCTGCCCCCACCCTGTCCTACCCCAGCCACTCACAGTGTCACTGGAGGATGCACGAAGACCTGCCAGCAGTTGTCTGTGTTCTTAGTGGAGCATCCCACATCCCTTCCCTGCCTGCCCACACCTACTGGGGTTCACTTGGGGTGGCTTCCCCTCACTTTCTCACACTACCCTTTGCACCTGCCCCTGGTCGCGACATTTCCGCATCTAGCAGGTCCCTGGGGCCTTGGGTGTCTCAGTCTTACATCCTGTGAGACTTTGAACCTCAGCCCAACCCCCACTCACCCAGCACCCACAAACAGGAGTGGGCAGGGACTGCACTGTTTAGGCCCCAGAGATCGACAGACCCCAGATCCTAGCTGTAACATGGAATTACTTCAGGAAAGAGCATCCCCTTTTCTGGACCTCAGTGTGACCCTTTGTCACATGAGGTTCAGCCTTCCCTGTCAGCATCAGTGAGTCCAGGTAGGCAGAGGTCCCGTGGGTCCCAGTTCCTGCAAAGGGACTCTAGCTTTGTGACCCCTCCCCCTGCCGCCAGGCATGGCCACAGTAGCTTGCAGAGAGTGAGCCTGGGCCTGTCCTTTAGGTCAGGGTGATGGGTCCCATGACTGAGCTGGTGTGACCCCAACACCTTCCTCAGGATAAGGGGCCGGGCTCAGAGCTGGGGCCACTTCCTGTGCTGAAGGAAGTCCTCTTGCCGTTTCTGTTGCCCTGCCAGTGTCCCCTGGGAACCCCTGTGTCCTTGAGGTATTGGAGTCAGAGGGCCAGGGCACCAAGATCCAGCTTCTGGGTGCCCAGCTCCTCAGGGACCCTGGAGGAAGTGGGAGGGGCAAGTCTCTGGGGACAGGACGTCCTCCCTTTGTCAAGCGGGCAGGACCCAGACACCACTGGCCCCAGGGACAGATCATCTGTCCAACTGGGCCAGGACTTGGTGGGGACCCTTATTCTGGTCCCAGGCCAAAGCCAAGGTGTGTGAGTAGGAACCGAGGGAGCCCGGCAGCCCCAGGGCCACCCAGGTTCCCAGATCCCCCAGGGCTAAGGCGAGGACAGCCCAGTCCCCAGCCCTGCCCAGCACTCAGTGGAGGAGGGGGCTGGAAACCTCAGCCTAAGGCAGACAAGGAAGTGGCCAGGAAAGCGGAAGCGGCTTTGATGGTCGCGGAGGGGGCCGGAAGCCACCCTGTGCGTAGTGGAGGACCAGGCTGGTGGCCTGGGTTCCTGTTTTCTCCCCAGGCCCCTCTGAGCAGCCCCCTCCTCCCTCAGGGCAGGAGCTGGCCTGCCACTCGGGCACCGACCACCTGTGCCCGCCAATGCGACCCGGCCCCCGGCGAGCCAGGCCCACGGCACGCCCATGTGGGCTGGCGGTGTGGGGAGCCCGCGGCGGGGCGCCGCCCCTGCGCCCACTGATGACCTCTTCGCCCGCAAGCTACGCCAGCCGGCCCGGCCCCCGCTGACCCCGCACACCTTTGAGCCACGGCCAGCCCGGGGCCCGCTCCTCCGCAGTGGCAGCGATGCTGGCGAGGCCCGGCCCCCCACGCCGGCCAGCCCCCGCGCCCGTGCCCACAGCCACGAGGAGGCCGGCCGCCCAGCCGCTGGCCCTACCCGGCTCTTCACTGACCCGCTGGCCCTGCTGGGGCTGCCAGCCGAGGAGCCAGAGCCCGCCTTCCCGCCAGTGCCTGAGCCCCACTGGTTTGCCCACTATGATGTGCAGAGTCTGCTCTTTGACTGGGCTCCGAGGCCGCGGGGGACGGGGGGCCACGCAGAGTCCGCCTCTGGGACTCTGGCCTCTGCCGAGGACCCATCAGCCAGCTCGGACCTACTGCTTGAAGCACCCGGCTTTGTGAGTGAGCTTGGGGGTGAGGGCGAGCTGGGCCTGGGTGGAGCCATGGCCCCACCTGTGCCGCCTGCGCTGCCCAATGCGGCCGTGTCCGTTCTGGAGGAGCCGCAGAACCGAACTTCAGCCTACAGCCTGGAGCATGCAGACCTGGGTGCTGGCTACTACCGCAAGTACTTCTATGGCAAAGGTAAGGGGAGGGCTTCCTGGCTGGGCAGCCGTCCCTGTCACCTGAGGAGCACACGGTAGAGCTCATGAGTTGTCCTCTCCCTGTTAAGTTCCCGGCCACATGAAGGATCAGGCTCTGCCTCTGAGGCCAAGGCTGTGCTGCGGAGCCTCGCTTTAACCACCTCCCTAAGTAAGGCCTTTGGCCTCCATCTGATTCATCCTCCTATCCCTGAGGGCTGGGGAGAGATTTCCAATCAACGTTTGTGGGAAGTGAAAACTGAGGCTGAATACCTCTGCACATGGGAACCTTGTTCTTGTCAGTGCCCAGAAGGCAGGGTCCAAGACATCCTGCCTCAGAATCTGGGCATGGCGGGCACGGCCTTGCCAAGGGGGCGAGGCATGGGACCAAGCCTCCTAGGGGAGGATCTAGGCCTGGAAGCAGACAGGCATTGGCCCCCTGCGTCTGGGGCAAGGTGTGATGTGTACAGAGCCGCCAAGGCGGCTAGGCATCGGCTGGAGTGTCAGGGAGCCTGCACGAATAGGGATTTGGCAGCAGAGGGAATGAGCCTTAGTCTAGGGTCTAGACTAGGTTGATGGTTTAGTCTCAGGAGTCATCACTAGGTGATGAAATGGGGCGTGGGCAGGGTTTAGCAATGGGTGTGGTCGAGCCCCAGTGGGATTCCCAGGGGCGCAGGACCGGTCATCCACTACCCTGGCTCCCCTCCTCGTCAGAACACCAGAACTTCTTCGGACTGGATGAGGCCCTGGGTCCGGTGGCAGTGAGCCTGCGGCGGGAGGAGAAGGAAGGCAGCGGAGGGGGCACTCTTCACAGCTATCGAATCATTGTGCGGACCACACAGGTGGGCCGGGGTCATGGGATCAGACCGCGGATTGCCTCCTCGGAAACCTGTATGGATTCTGAGGGTCCCTACATTCCCCTCCTCAGCTCCGGACCCTCCGCGGCACCATCTCTGAGGATGTGCTGCCGCCGGGGCCCCCAAGGGGCCTGTCCCCTAGAAAGCTTCTGGAGCACGTGGCTCCGCGGTTGAGCCCGACCTGCCTGCGCCTGGGCTCAGCTTCTCCGAAGGTGCCACGCACGCTACTCACTCTGGATGAGCAAGTAGTGAGTAGCCAGTGTCCCCCCACCCCCACCCTCAGCTTAACGGCTATACCTGGTTGCCATCCAGCTTGTCCAGCTGGGGAGCACTGGGGAGCCATGGAAAATATGAGAGGCAGAGCAGCCTTCTGGTTGTAGTATGGGAGCCAGACTGGAGGAGCAGGGAGGCCAGGCCAAAGGCTGTTGCATTCATCCAGACCAGACCTGGTGGTGATGATGGCAGAAGTGAAGGGGAGGTGACAGTCCAGGGGTAGATAGGTGGGATGGGACGATCCAGTGAGAAGATGAGGTGCCAAGGTGAGGAAAGGACATCTGGGCAGCTGGAGAAGGATGTCTGGAGCTCAGAAGAAAGGTGTGGGCTAGGGGCAGAGACTGGAGTGTGTTCCCATGGAGGCAGCTGTTGCAGTCACTGAGGGTGAAGACTGTGGTAGAGAAGAGGCCCAGGCCTGAGACAACAGGGTCGCTAGGGGCTCAGGCAAAGTAAAGTTCCAGCTCACTATGGTGAGAGTGTGCCAGGATGAAGCCATGCTGTGGGCCCTCAGGGGAAGCTGGGGTTTAGGAGCTGGAGTGGAAGTGGGGCTGCAGGGCTTAGGAGGGATGAAATGAAAGCAGGGGCTGTGCTGTAGACAGGGCTAGAGCCAGAGGGGCCAGAGCACCTAGAGCTGTGCGTGATTGACCCCAGATAAAAAGGCCAAAGGAGCCGGGCGCAGGGTGAGCTGAGATGGTACAGGGTCAAGGCCTCCAGGGGCTGGGCTGGGGGTGCCTGGGATTCCAGGGAGGGAAGGACAGGCTAGCCTTGAGATAAAGAGGGTGACAATGTGAACATTTATTGGGATTCAGGATCCTTTCCACCAATCACCTCCACTGTGATCATGTGAGAACCGACCCCCTCCCAGTCCCTTCCACCTGTGACTTCACTACCTTCCTGAGCACTGGGAGCAGGCCTCTTATGAGTAGAGACCCAGAGGCAGCATAGGGAGGGTGGTGCTCAGGGCCCCGCACAGAGATAGCACAGCCACCCTGGGCATCCCCCAGAAGCTGTGGGTGCAGGGCCTTCTGACTGTGCCCTCCCCTGCAGCTAAGCTTCCAGCGCAAGGTGGGCATCTTGTACTGCCGCGCGGGCCAGGGCTCGGAGGAGGAGATGTACAACAACCAGGAGGCGGGACCGGCCTTCATGCAGTTTCTCACCCTGCTGGGCGACGTGGTGCGGCTCAAAGGCTTTGAGAGCTACAGGGCCCAGCTGGACACCAAAAGTGAGGCCCAGGGGCTGGGGAGTGGGGCAGACCCGTGCCGAGGGGCAGACAGCCTCCGTGAGAACCAACTGCCTTGTCATTTCTCTGTCCCGCAATGTCCAGGGCCTGGGGCTGGGGTTGGAGAGCTCTTTGGGTAGGCTGAGGACGTGGGTCAAAGGCCAAGCAAGCCATAGGCTGGAAGGAGCAACTAGGGTGGTGCCCCTGCTGCCTGAGCTGCAGCCAAGGGGGTTTTGCGGGCACCATGCCTGCCCCTCAAATACATATATTCCACCAGCCCAGCTTCCTGGGGAGCGCCCCTGCCTCCCTGGTTGGAAGGGCCCCAGGGCCCCTTCTGGAGCACCGGTTTTGCCTCCCACTCTCAGCAGCTCCACACATGCTGGTGCCTGGGGCAATATCCATCCTCTCCTGGGACTTCCACCCCCTCATCCCTCATAGCAGGCCATTCCTCATTGGGTCATTCTCTCTTAGCACCCCCATGACCGGAGGCTGGAGGCCGGAGCCTGATGGCGAGGGAAAGGGAGCAGCCAAATCTGAGGCCCTTAGACTTCAGGGCCTGGTGGCGTGAAGGGGTAGCCCATCTGTTGGTTGGGGTCATAGGAGCTCCAGACTGCAGGTAGAGATGGCAAGTTCAAGCAGATCCCCCCTCCTCTCCCTCTGCGGCCACAGCGGATTCCACAGGCACGCACTCCCTCTATACCACATACCAGGACCACGAGATCATGTTCCACGTGTCCACGATGCTGCCTTACACCCCCAATAACCAGCAGCAGGTGTGAGGGGGCAACGATGGGGCTGGGGGAATGCCAAGGGCTTCTGGGGGACCAGGGAGAGGTATTGTGGGGGCGGGGGCATTTGAACCTTGGCCTGAGTTCTCTTGAGCTTTAACAACCCTCCCCAAAGACAAACACCCAGACTTCACCAGGGGCAGGTCGGGGAGCCACTGATACCCAGGCTCTGCCCTGACTGAGGAGGGGCCTGGGGGACAGACAGGTCCAGCTTACATCCCCCACCATTCTAACTCCCAGCTCCTGCGCAAACGCCACATTGGGAATGACATCGTGACGATCGTGTTCCAGGAGCCTGACAGCAAGCCCTTCTGCCCTACCACCATCCGCTCGCACTTCCAGCACGTGTTCCTAGTGGTGCGGGCTCACGCACCCTGCACTCCGCACACCTCCTACAGGTGGGTGCCTAAGTGCTCCTGGTTCTGCTGCTGTCAGGGATCCTCCCAGTTGCCCCTAATTCCCGCCTCCCTCCCCTCAGGGTGGCCGTGAGCCGCACCCAGGACACCCCGGCCTTTGGGCCAGCTCTGCCCCAGGGCGGAGGCCCCTTTGCCGCCAATGCCGACTTCCGTGCCTTCCTGCTGGCCAAGGCGCTCAACGGCGAGCAGGCAGCAGGCCACGCACGCCAGTTCCACGCCATGGCCACGCGCACGCGTCAGCAGTACCTGCAGGACCTGGCCACCAACGAAGTGACCACGACGTCCCTGGACTCGGCTTCGCGCTTTGGCCTGCCCTCCCTAGGCGGGAGGCGGCGGGCACCCCCTCGGGGCCTGGGGACCGAGCTGCAGGCGGCGGGGGCTCTGGTGTGGGGCGTGCGAGCTGCGCCTGGGGCGCGGGGCGCGGCCGGGGCCGGGGCCGGGGCTGAGGCCGGCGGTCTGGACGACGCCGAGGTGCCCTGCCTGCTGGGCATCTCGGCTGAGGCGCTGGTGCTGGTGGCGCCGCGCGACGGCCGCGTCGTCTTCAACTGCGCCTGTCGCGATGTGCTGGCCTGGACCTTCTCCGAGCAGCGGCTCGACCTGTACCACGGCCGCGGGGAGGCGATCACCCTGCGGTTCGACGGGGCCCCCGGCCAAGCCGTAGGCGAGGTGGTCACGCGCCTGCAGGTGAGGCCCGGGAGTCAGCGGACCCCTCGCCCCCGCCCCCTGTCCGCGGTGGGGGAGATAGGGAGGTAGGCAATCCTGGCCCTGGCGCTTGGCCAAGCTGGGGAGGGGGGAGGTGGCCCCTGCGGCCTGGGACCGGGGGGCGGGGGGCTGGCGCGGCCCCGCTCATGCCCCGCCCGGCCCTAGGTGGTGAGCCGTGGCTGCGAGACCCGCGAGCTGGCGCTGCCCCGCGACGGCCAAGGCCGCCTGGGCTTCGAGGTGGACGCCGAGGGCTTTGTCACACACGTGGAGCGCTTCACGTTCGCAGAGACCGCGGGGCTGCGGCCCGGGGCGCGCCTGCTGCGCGTGTGCGGCCAGACGCTGCCCACGCTGGGCCCGGAGGGGGCTACGCGGCTGCTGCGCTCGGCGCCCAAGGTCTGCGTCACCGTCCTGCCCCCCGACGAGAGCGGCCGGCCCCGCAGGTCAGGGCGGGGACGCGGGGAGGTGGGAGGACCAGGCAGCTGGCCACCCGGAGCCTGTGCCTCCCGCGTGGCCATGAGCCTTCTCCCGAGAATACAGAATACCATGAGGAAGGCTCGCCTCCCCGGGAGAATCCCACGTCTCTTAATCTGAGTCACATACGTGGAGTGAAGCCAATTAAGCAGGCTGTCTTCACTGCTCATTATTTAACAGCAGCCCTAACTTTTTTTTTAAGTTTAAAAAAATTATTTAGAGAGAGTGAGAGAGCGGGAGCAGGGGGAAGGGCAGAGGCAAAGGAGAGAGCCTCAAGCTGACTTCAGGCTCAGCTGAGTGCAGAGGCCATGCCAGCTGGATCTCGACCCAGAGATCACGCCTGGAGTCAAAATCAAGACTCAGATGCTCAACAGACTCGCCCCTACAACCCCATCTTTTTTTTTTTTTTTTTTTTAAGGATTATCCACAGAACATACATGATTAATTACTTGCTGCCTTAAGCCAGTATATGTGAACTTTCTCTGTAAAGGGCCAGATAGTAAATATTTAGGTTTTCTGGGCTATCTGGTCTGTGCTACAGCTACAAAGCTCTGCTGTAGCACAAAAGCATCCCTAGATGATTGGTAAATGCAGGGGTTGTCTTTATTCCACTAAAACTATTCGTGGACACTGAAATTTGAATTTTATTGATTTTCACATGTCATGAAATATCCTTTTTATTTCTTTCAACTATTTAACAATGTACAAACCACTCTTGGCTCACAGGAGTACAAAAATAGGCATAGCTGCTAAAACAGAAAAAGGCACAGGCTGGATTTGGTTCCCAGGCAGGTTTTAGATCTCTATACTAAGTGATTTACCTGTGTTATTATTTAAAGCTTCACAGCAAGCTATAAATCAGTACTGTTATCCCCATTTCACAGATGGAGAAATCAATGTTTGGAGTGAGTTGCCCAGGATACACAGGGGCAGCACTGGGTCTGGAAAAATAGCTAGTAGTCAGGCAAACATTTTCCATTGTTACGGAGTTTGGAGAGTTCTCCTCCTGGAAGTGAGCCTCCGGCGCATTTGGGAGTGGGTTTGGAGATGCAGGACACTGGCGACTGAGGGTTCCTGCCTGACACTGCCCATTCCTCCCCGCAGGAGCTTTTCGGAGCTGTACACACTATCTCTGCAGGAGCCCAGCCGGCGGGGGGCCCCAGAGCCGGTGCAGGATGAGGCCCTGGGGGTGGTGACCCTGCTGCCCAACACAAAGCAGCTGCTGGAAGTGTGCCTGCATGATGGTGGCATTCCCACAGGGCCTGGGGATCTGGCTGAAGAGAGGACTGAGTTCCTGCACAGCCAGAACTCACCATCACCCCACAGGTGCCGTCTTTTGTCTTCCCTCTTCTCCAGCCCGGTGAGGCTGGACAGGCACGGTCTGTAAAGGCCAGAGCCATGGGATGCGGCTTCTCTTGCTGAGCTATCTCTGCTCTCCCCAGCTCCCTGTCAGACGAGGCCCCAGTCCTGCCAAACACCACCCCAGACCTCCTCCTGGCCGCCACAGCCAAGCCGGCAGTACCCAGTATTGGCAGAGAGACATCCCCCACCCAGGTAAGCAGAAACAGAACTCTGGAGCCCAAAGAACAGGGGTGGGCACAGTGGTGATGGCGGACATCACTGCATCCATACTCATTAATACCCTCCAGGATGGGCCAGACAGCTCCAGTGGTTGTGAGGAGAGTGGACACCCGGCCCCCGAGCTGAGGGCCTCCTTCCTTCCACGAACCTTGTCTCTGCAGAACTCTATCAGCAAAAGTGAGTCTCAAGCAAGGTGGGGAATGGGGGTGGGGGCTCAGAGGAGCTGGCTTGGGCTTCCCTGGCTGAGCCCACCTCCTTGTGCCCATAGTCATGTCCGAGGCAGGCAGTGAGACCCTGGAAGACGAGTGGCAGTCCATCTCGGAGATCGCCTCCTCTTGCAACACCATCCTGGAGTCACTGTCTCGGGATGGTAAGGCACGAGGGCACTGGGGGTCAGAGCCAGGATAGGGTAGGGCTCTTTCTCCTTTTACCTACCTGCTCTAATGATCGCTGTCTCCCCACAGGACAGCCCATCCCAGAGAGTGGAGATGTGAAGGAAACTCCGAAGTCTGATGCTGAGTAAGCCTCCCTGTGGTGATCTAGCCCCTTCACTGTGCCCATGTGACCATACATGAGTTAAGCACTGTCCCAGGCAGGGCTCTGCTTTCCCCCATATATAAGTCTGAAAACGCACCCATCTCATTTAAGTGGGCCTGGGAGCCAGCCAGAGGTACTGCTGCCTACCTGGTCCCATGACCTGACCCTTATGTCCTCAGGCCAGAATCTGGGAGCCTGTCCGAGAAGGTCTCTCACCTGGAGTCCATGCTCTGGAAGCTGCAGGAAGACCTGGAGAAGGTGACAGGGTGGGCTGGGGGTCGGCAGGGAATTACAGGGCTGCCCTGGGAAAGGAGCCAGCGCTCTGATACATGCCTTCCACCACCCCAGGAGAAGGCAGACAGGGCAGCCCTGGAGGAGGAAGTGCGGAGCCTGCGGCACAACAACCAGAGACTGCAGGCTGAGTCGGAGAGCGCAGCCACCCGCTTGCTCCTGGCCTCCAAGCAGCTGGGCTCACCCACCACCAACCCGGTCTGAGCTGTCTGGTCCAGCTGCAGCCTGGCCACGGACCTGCTTGAAACTGCTCAGGTCATCAGGATACCTGGGCCCCCTGGGGCCCTGGGCCCTCCTCAGGAACTCTCTCTTAGCACTGCCCCCCAACTCCCCCGCTGGATACTTGGTGGTGAAGTTGCCCTTTCCCCATCCTTTGTGTGTAAATATTCTGTGGAGAAAAGGGGACTTCAGGGAGTAAAGAAGCCACTACTCTGTGTCTGTGCGGGTGTTAATGACATGACTAGGGGGAGAGGTTTTGCCCCCAGAGGCTCCAGCCAAGTCCCCAGGACCACTCAGGACAGGCCTTTGGAACACTGGCTCAGGGTTAGGTTGGCACTCACTGAGGGCTTCTCGGATGCTAGGTCACCCGTTGGCTTCTCTCACAAACATTGGTCTGTTGGGAAGCAGATGGTCACATCCCACACCTATTCTGCATTGTCGGGGGAGCCAGCCCCAGCTAGGCCCTTTTCCTGGAACCAAACGGAGGGATGGAGATCAGGGCAGAGGGACAGACGTGGACCTGCAGTGGACCTGCAGGGCGGGGGAGGGAGAGATGAAGTTTAGGGATTAAGGAGAGCCTGACTATGCTCGGATGTAAAGGCCCTCTGACTTTTTAAGGCGTAGGCCGTGCTCCCTTGGCCCCAGAGAGGTGACTATGACACTGGGAAAGCTAAGGGAGGTGCGTGGCCTGGGCGGGAGGACTGGGGCTCACTCCTTCCCCTGGGGCCTTAGGCGGCGCGCACCGCTCTCAGCTCAGTCACCCGCTTCCTTTGGTAAGGAGCCTCACCCCTCGTGGTCCAGCTGCCACGGCCTGGGTGCTGGGGATCCATCGCGCCCCGCCTCTCCGGGCGCTACTCCGAAGGTTCTCAGGGGTCCTGACGTGACGACCACGCTCGGGACCGCCCCTTGCGCGGAAGCGCCCCATGGCCTGGCCCTTGAGTGGCCCGCCCTACTCCAGGCCCCGCCCGTGACTCCGCCCCCCGGGCCAGAGGCTGGAGGGCACGCTCGGCGCTCCAGGCGCTTGCCGGTAGCCCGACGTTCCGCGGCCCGCTGGCGTGTTCCAGGCGGCACGGTCCGTGGGAGTCTGCAGCCAGGGCCTGCTGCTCCCAGGGGACGCACTAACTCTTGCAGCAAGCTCCACTGATAACCAGCACGCCTCTGCCTTCACCCTCCCACACACCCTCCTGTGCGAAGCCCAGAACTTAGATGCCGTCGGACTGTGGGTAGAGGTTTCCCCCAGGCTCCATACCTGCTTCCCCCGCAGAAGGCTATCTGCGCCTGCGCACTTAGAAGGCAGGGTCTAGCGGGCTGGGGCCTTTCGCGAACACTTTACTGCGCCTGCGTGGGGCTGAGCAGGAAGTACTACAGCTCCGCCGCTTCGGGCTGTGGCCTGGCTTTTGTTTAGGCCTCTCTACGCTGATTTATTTCTTCGGCCCTCGCAGAACAGGATGTCAAAGCATAGATAGACCTTTACCTGGAATCTCCTCTTCCTCAACAGATGTGGACTTTCCCTTGGCCACTCAAGAGATGAAATTCAAACCTTTTTTAAGTTCAGAGTCCTTGACCTTTATAGCCTGGCCCCATCAAAGCTTTTCAAGATTGTCTCACATCGGAACGCTGGTAGCGGCTCTGTAAGACTCTCCTGCCTCTGTTGATCTAAGATCTAAAGCTGGTATGGCCTCTCTGATGCCCTTCCTGAAACTACTCCATCCCCACAGCCAGTGGGCCCCACTGGGCCTTCTCTATGCTGAGCCCCCACCCACATTAGTTGCCTGCCTTGACCCACGGGCTTTGATCCTCAGACTTCTAGAAGGCACTGTAAATATTCATCCAGCTCTCACTAATGTCCAGCCTGACGTGACCAGCCAAGAGTGTTCGGTTTGCTAAAAGAAGGGAAACCAACGGCCAGCTTGGCAATGAATTTATTAGTTCAGAGTAGAAAGAGCAAGAGTCCAACTGCTTTCATTCTTCAGTAAAAACTGAGCCTCTTGATTGGAGAGCTGCCAGCCTGCCCTCCCCCCTACTCTCCAAACACCTAGCCCTACTATTAAGGCACTTGAGAAAAGGGGGAACAGAAAAGTATCGGACTGAACCTCCCTGGATCCTGGAAAGGGCCAGTGTTGTCCCACCAGTCCCCCTGGGCCACAGTTGAGCAAGGGAAGAGCTGGTAGAGACCTCTGCAGGGCCAGGGGGACAGGCCCTCAAATGCTGGTGTTAGTTCAAGGACAATGCCAGCACCACAGAGGGGCTGGTAGGGGGCATTATTTTGGCACAAGGTGAGAATGAATCCATGATTTGAGGAAGACACTTGGTGATAAGGCTCTGTGGCCTCAAAGGCCATAGCTCCAGCCTGGCCCTCTCTAGGAGAGTATTAGAAGCTGGAGGGTAGGGATGGGGGCCCCCAGAATTCCTTATAAAGAGAAGGGAGCTGAACATTAGGATAGGGGAAGAGTTTGAGTCCTCCCTGCTCCCCCCTTTCCAGAGAAGTTAATGCTTCTGCTTAAGCACCTCCAAAGAGACACTGCCAATAAAAGAATAAAATGCACCCCCCCCGGAAGACATCACCCAAAGAAGGTGGGGGCAGTTGGAGCACATATACACCCCCCCCCCACCCCAGAATCCGTAAGTGCTTGCTTTGGGAGGGCTTCCATCCCCTGCAACCCAGTGCTCTGAGCAGGGTAACACCCACTTAGGAGCTGATCTGACTCAGAAGGGCTGAGAAGTCCATGTCTGCAATGGAGGAGAAGTCTTCATCCCCTGAGAGGAGGCCGTTGGGGAGCCCAGAGGCCCCTACGGGAGCAGGAACTGGGTCAGGGGGCCTCTGGGACCCTGTCACCAGGCGCGTTATTGCCTCAGGGTACTCCATCAGCATGGGCTCGGCTGTGTGGGGGGCCACAGATACACCCTGGTTCAGCAGCTGCTGAAACTCAGAGTTGTCGACGGAGGCCAGGTCTGTGAACACGGCTGGGTCAGCGCTGTTGCCCAGCAGGGCCCCCAGGTCTTCATCAGCATCAAACTGCAGCTGTAGCAGGGCCTCTGTCAGCGTCCCTTCCCCGGCTTGGGTGGTCTTGGGGGCAGGGGGGGCCATGGCCTGAGCAAGGCCTGGGGCTAAGATTGGGGCAGGGGCTGGGGCTGGCGGGGCCGGGGCCAGGATTGGGGCAGGGGCAGGGGCTGATGCCAAGGCAGAGGTCTGGCTTGAGATCTGCCCCGAAGAAAAGACCATGGGGGAGAACTCCTCGAAGTTGATGGTGCTGAGGGATGGCGTAAAGGGATAGGACTGGGGAGCTGGGAGAAAGAGACAGAGAATCAGGGGCCAGAGGAAGCTGTAGAGACCCACCCCGTTGTCTGTGCCCTAGCCCCTGTGCTAGGGATTAGGATCAACACCTCCCTAGGAGCTCCCTGCCAGCACCCTCACTCCTTCCTTTTACTCCATCTGACCCGTGCAGTTCTATCCTCACCCCCTCCTGTGGGGCCCCACAAGGCTCTCCTAGTCTTTAAGAGGAAGGGATGCTGTCAGAGATCAGCTGATAAAACTTCAAGAGACCAGGAGGCTGGAGACTGAGCCCAAGTAGCATCCAGTGTCATGGCCTGAAGCAGGGCACTTTGTTACTCTTTTTTGTTACTCTGCTACCAGCTACCAGCAGAAACACTCTACTACATTGGAGGGGATTTTGCTTCCCTAATTCTATTGAGAGCTGAGGTCAAAGACTACATTTTTAAACTATCTCCCAAGGCATCCAATATGGGACCTAGCTGACACAGTGGCTTTCAGACCTCAGTGCTCACTAGTGCATTAGCTGCTTCCTGGGCCATGTTTCCAAAGCCTCTGATTGCACAGGTCAGTAATGGGGCCCGGGAATGCATGTCTTCACCACACCCCAAATGGCTCTTGATGTAGTAACTAGGCCTCAAGCCCTGAGAAACATGAGCCCAACAGAGAGCAGGACACCTGCTGGTGAAGCTGACTGCTTATCCCCCCAACCCAGAAGGTGTCTAAACCACAGGCTGAACAGATTTGAGCTTGTAGTTCTGGTGGGACAACAGGAAATCCTCACCTGGCTTGGGGACGGAAGTCGTGCTTCGGGAAGGCACAGCAATGCGCCGGGGTGGAGGCCGGGGGTCAGTGGGTCCTGTGGGGTGAGGATGGGTCAGTTCCTAGCCCCCACTTCCTCGTCCCCTCCTGGTCTCCCTTCCCCCATTGGCCACCTCTCTCATGCTCTCCACTGCCCCCTTACCATTGAAAGGACTCTTTTTCATGATGCTCTTGAAGGTCTCATATGTCCTTTTACGTTTCTCTTCAATCCGGTGACGATCATCTAGAAAAGTAATGGGGAGAAGTGGACCTCGCTCTTTTCAGATGGATCCCCAAGGCTTTCAAAGGACCATCAGGAGGAAGAGGATGAGACAAGCTTTCCGTAAGACCCATTCTTCAAACCCACCCCACCAGGGAGAAGAGCTGCATGATACTTTGACACACAATTGTGAGACTCCCACAGCTTTCTGAGAAGGCCTGTATCAGCTGAATGTGACAGACCAAAGGCCACAGGGATGACTCCAAATGAAGCAGCCAGGCTCTAGGGAACAGGACCCCTCATGGAGCCCTGTCTCCAGCTTCTTCTCTTACCTGCACTGCCCAGGTCCTAGCTCACCCACAGCCTTGATCCAGGCCTGGCCATGATCTTTGTGCTCTGGGGAAGCTGAGGCACGACGGCCTTGCTGAAGACCAACAGAGACCCGTATTCATTTCTGATGGTTGGCTAGCTCAGTACGCAACCTCCGGGACTGCCTTTCTAAGTACTGTGGCATGTAGGGTAACCCCAAAGTACTCAACACTGTCGGTCCAAAGCCAACCTCATCACCTCACCTCAAAAACCTGGTTCTTCCTCCTCCAGTGTCCGCTCGCCACCCATCTTCCCCATCACCCGAACTAGAAATCTTGAAATCATCATCAACATCTTCCTTTCTCTCACTCCCCACTGTCCACTAACATGACACACATTCACCAAGCACCCTGTGCAGGCTCCACTCTGGCCGTAGAGGCTATGGCAGGGAGTAAGCAAAGCTCCTGCTCCCCCAGAAGTGGACATCCTAGCTACACGGAGCAGGGACACAACCATATACGATAGGAATGCTGAGGAAGAGACACAGTGTGACATAACAGAACCAGAAGTGAGGCTGGAGAGCTGAGTTTAGATGTGGCCAGGGAAGCACTGTGGT